GTGCTTCTATATAGCTTAGGAAAGAGGCCCATGAATCTTATAATAATTTTCACGTTCACTAGATGTGTGAAGTTTGTTTACTTCCTGAGTCCTCCAAAAATCATCCCCCCTCCTTCCTGGAGGCCATGTTTTAACTTTAGAATTTTCCAGGCTACAAGCAGTCATACATCAAGACAGAATAATTCAACTAGGAGGAAATTGCTATGCAATGCTTTAGCCCTTCCTCCAGCTCTTACATTTTTTCTGCCCTCACTTCTATGAGGTTCCCTGAGCCTTTGAGGGCTGTTGTAGATAGCCATCTGCCATCTTAACCAGCCTGTGTGCCCTACTGGTGATTGAACTCAGTTCCATTGCATGAACGGCATCGTCACAGGCCACACATAGGCTCACTGGTTACTTTTTTCATTCTCTCTCCAGCTACATGGTATCTGCTTGCATTTATACTATTACAAGTACCCTTTTTTTTATAATTTTGTATTGGTTATTTTATTTATTTATGTTTCAAATGTTATCCCCCTTTCCAGTTTACTTTCCGCAAACCCTCTATCCCACCCCCTTTGCCCTGCTTCTAGAGGGTGATCCCCCACCCACCCACCCTCACCTCACCACCCTAGCATTTCTTTATGCTGGAGCATCAAGCCTTCACAGAACCAAAGGCCTCCCCTCTCATTGATGCCAGATAAGAAAATCTTCTGCTATATATGCAGCTGGAGCCATGGGTCTCTCCATGTATACTCTTTGGTTCGTGTTTCAGTGCCTGGGAGCACTGAAAGGTCTGGTTGGTTGATATTTTTGCTCTTCCTATGGGGTTGCAAACTCCTTCAGATACTTCAGTTCTTCCCCTAACTTCTCCATTTGGGGTCCCCATGTTTAGTCCAATGGTTGGCTACAAGCATCTGCGTCTGTATTGGTAAGGCTCTGCCAGAGCCTCTCAGGAGAAAGCTATATCAGGCTCCTGTCAGCAAGTACTTCTTGGCATCAGCAATAGACACTGGGTTTGGTGGCTGCATATGGGATGAATTCCAAGGTGGGACAGTCTCTGGATGACCTTTCCTTCAGTCTCTGCTCCACTCTTGTCCCTGTATTTCCTTTAGTCAGGAGCAATTCTGGGTTAAAATTTTTGAGAACCCATTCCTGTGTGATGTCTTTATTCATAACATCTGTGTTCCAGACATCTACAGGAATAGATGCTGTCCTTCCAAACATTTCATCTTACTTAGCCATTGGCTCAATTATGTGATGATGTTCAGTATCTTAAAGTGCCACTGACCCCAACACAGCCTGTGTGATATTAATTACATGGTTTGAAAATGCTACACCATATTGCTATAAATATGGATACCACCTTTGTAGAATTTGCTTATGTGTCTCTCCAGAAAGAAGCTTCACCAACCCTTAATTAGACAAGTTGTCTGTACTGTGACAAAGGTGGGGCCAGAGATGGATTCCATCAATTGTGACACTTAGTACTGTACACTGACCCCATCTATGACCAAGACCAAAACATTTAGGATGCTACTCCCCAGCTACAGTCTTCTTAGATTCTGGAGTCTTTTAACATGAAGGGATAATAGAGTTATGAGGCACACAGATGTTTAGCTTTTTCTTCAAAGATCTTGGTGTATTCAAAAGTATCTTGTCCCTTTCTGTTTCAATCTATATGGAATCCCTTTTTGTAACATCATATAGAGGATGGACAACTTGGGCAAAATGTGGTATGAATTCCGTCTCCCATATCCCAGGATCTCCAGGATATTTTTTTTTTTTTGCAATACTGGACCATATCCTCCCAAGAATTTTACAGCTGTGCCTGTCCTTTGCACCTTGAGTGACCTTATCTCCCTTTTTTGCTTCCTTCAGGCACATCTTGATGGTTTTAGCTCTTCTAAATCTGCAAATTACTCATAAGTTCGTATTATGCCAACTATATAATGAGGTTTTTCAACAGAGGATAAGCTGGATGACAACGCAATGTCTCAGACATTCCATGACAGATAGAGAAACATGGTAGAGTACTGGGAAGGTCCACTGTGGATCATCACAAGCAAATGAAAATTTATATTGAAACCTAGCAGCTAAGGAAATACAAAAAAAAAAAGTGTAATAGCAAGGTCTAATATAGTTCCAATAGACGCAGTCAGTTATCTGGTTCTCCATCCTTGCCTAGCTCTGTGGTCCAGATGTATTTTCTCATACCTATTATCTTGATAAACTGGCTTAAGTTGTTTGGCACTATGCCCTTAGCCTGACTGTGCTTGTGTGCCTGAGGTCTAGTAGACTCTTGGCCTGAACTGTAGCTGGAGCCTTTCCCGTTGTCTCTCCCTCAGAGACATGTGGCTGTGGACATAAGGCCAAGGTTGGCAAACAATTTCCACACCCGGCATATTTTCTGCTGGTTTTTATCTGAATGGGTTCATCCTGTATTAGTCACTATTGCCACTGTCCCCTGGTACTTTGGATGTTTGCCATGAATTAAGGAAGACTCAGCTCTTGAATCTACTGAAGCCTCTCCTACTTTATAAATGTCATGTTCCACCATAGGGCTCAGAAAAAAACATGAAAACCGCATACCAGTCCAGTGATCTTTTATAACTATGAACATTGTTCTATCTGGCCCAGTGGATTGGACATCAAACTGGGGGAATTGTTTTTGTTTGGTTTAGTTTGATTTGGTTATTGTTATTTTGTTTGAGCTTTTATTTGTTTTGTTTGTTTGCTGGTTTTGTTTTTGTTTTTTGATCCTAAGAAGGGCTCTTTAGTGCACATAAGTATTGTGCCTTCTCATCCTTGTATCCTGCCAACCTTAAGAAATAAAAAGCCAATACTTTCACCTCATTTTTAATCCAATTTCCTTTCTACATAACAGATTTTTGCAGAGATGCTAAGCACATCTCCTTTTCCCCTCCTAATCCCCCTTAATATCAATTCCCTCTGGGCGGCCATAGTGATCTCAAACGCATTTCTTAGTACAAGTACATGAGCCAGACAACCTCACCAATATCTTTCCCCTTATATGTTACCCTTGGGGACTATAATATTTGTTATTTACCTTTGATTGTTCCATGCCATCTCTGTGGCCATGCAGTAGACTCCACTCACCAAGCTTGATTTTAAGCAAGCATGACACTGTATATCACAAAATGTAAGATAGCCCACTTGGATTGTCCCTGAGGATTCTGCACCCAGACTTTCCCTATGGGTAAAAAAGTCCCAGCCTTGACTGTATGTCGTATCACCCAAAGCAAGGCCCATGAAACTACCACTCTAGCAAGAAGGTGCACTGTTCCTTTCATACCACTTGGGAAAAGGTACCATTCTAGGATTTCTCCTGTGGATTCCCTGCCCTTGATAGATCAGCTTCAGTTCCACGTCTTGGCACTCATTGCAGAGGAACCATTCCTCCACAACCCATCTTTGGTTCTGTTGGTGGTAGTTTAAGCACCAAGCATGTTATATGGACATTACCTGGGCAGGAGGCATGACACAAACGTGTCTTCCCAGGATAGGGAGCAAATGGCCCATCAAAGTAATAATTACAGCAAAATACAAACTGATGAACCAGTCCGTTTATTCGTGTTACTGATAGTAGTATGGCTGAAGGAGCAGAAGCAACTCATGGCAACTCTATCCTCAAAACACTGACTCCTGAAAGCTACACCCCAGGAGCACTCTGCATGACTGACAGGCAGCTAACAGGTCAGATATCTTCTCCAGCAACTGTTTACTATTTCTATAGCGGTAGGAAGGAACCCCAAAAGCTATCATTTTCAACTTTCTGGGTTATGTGAGTTGTTTACTTTTTGAGTCCCATGAGCCTCCCACTCTACTTCCTGGAGGAAATATTTTCACGTAGAGCTTCCTAAGCCCTAAGGGGACTTCCTTCAGGATGAAATGTTTCAACTCCCAGGAAATTTCAACACAGTATCATCCTACTCAAATGGAATCTTATAGGATATTTAAGTTTCAGACTTATAGAAAAACAATGAAACTTAGTATCCTAGAAGATTTCCTTTGAGATTATGTGGGAAGAACAAGGATTCACCTTGCTCTGAAAACAACATTCATCCTCTACCTCCTAGTAAAAGATGCTAGCAAACCAATCACATAAGTCAATCACTTACGTATAAACTGAAACTTAATAAAACTTCCTTAGATTGTTATATTAATGATCACTAATCAAAGAGTTTCTAATGTATAGAAAGCAAAATAATACCCAGACAGTTGTCTATAAACATAATAATAACATAATTTAAATAGTCTATAGGTCTGAGAAGACTGACAAATAATGAAAACCAGCCCATCCTTGTTAGAATATACCTCCATAATGACTTAGTTTCCCTAAATAGATTTTCACTATTACACATTGCAGACTATCACAGCCTAGTCCAGCTCCTGCCTCCCATGGGTTTTTGTAAACAGCTTCTTGAGATCAATTTGTGTGTGTGCACAGTACAGAAAATTTAAACAGGCTATTATTGTACATTCTAGGCAAATATTGTAGCACCGAACTGCATCCCTAACTTATTCCAGATCAATGAAAATATACTCGTATATGTATGTGTCAATGACACTTATTTTAGGTAGTGATGGAGTTGTGGTGCAACATACATTTTGATATCTATCTTAGATAAATATGTGTATCTGTGTATATATGTATCATATATATATTATAATTATAGTTACAATTATAATTATAAATTATATATGTGCATATATGTCATATAATATATAATTTATAATTATAACTATAATATACACAGATACACATATTTATCTAAGAGATAGATAGATAGATAGATAGATAGATAGATAGATAGATAGATAGATAATTACAGGGTATATATTAGTCATTACCATTTACAGTGTGTCAGGTATTCATTAAATGCACTATAATTTTATATATTTAGCTATATTACTTAAAAAGTAACTTGTAGCGAGATATTTATACTGTTTTCATAACATTTTAACTTGCTCAAAGTAATTTTACTCTTTCTTTCCAGGTTGTAAAAATGATGATTATTGTGGTGGTGACGTTTGCCATCTGCTGGCTGCCCTACCATGTGTATTTCATTCTCACAGCGATCTACCAACAATTAAACAGGTGGAAATACATCCAGCAGGTCTACCTGGCTAGCTTCTGGCTGGCCATGAGCTCAACCATGTACAATCCCATCATCTACTGCTGTTTGAACAAAAGGTAAAAACAATACTGTTGGCTAGGGCATGGGTCTCTTAGCACCTCTACCTTCCCTGGAAGAATGGGGAAAGAAAGTAAGAACTCAGAGAGAAACCCAGAGCTTGCTCTTGTAGACTCTTCTTACTTCACTAAATGCTCCCCCTTAAAACCTAGGTACTCAAAAGTGTCACTGACAGTGGCTCGACTTTGCTAATCTGTGACCCTTTCATACAGTTCCTCATGTTGGGTTGACTTCCAGCCATTAAATCATTTTGCCGCTACTTCACAACTGTAATTCTGCTACTGTTATGAATTGTAATGTAAATGTCCATGTTTCCTGATGATCTTAAGTGACCCCTGTGAAGGGTTGTTCAATGCCCCCCCCCAAAAAAGGGTTGAAACCTACAGATTGAGAAGCTCACACTACAGGTTTTTACAGGTGGATTTTACGTGGGCCAATTTCTTTCCTTAAAACCTTCAGAATTTTATCTACCAGTGTAAAAGAAACCCTCACGTGTGGAGGTTTATCCACATTCCCAAAGCATGAGATTTCTTCAACGCAATTAAAGTACTTTTTCTATGAGAGGGAGAAATAATGGGATAATGATGGGGACTCCGTTAAGAGAGCGCTCTCAACAATAGCCTTCAAAGTGCATGCTGCTGGCAGAGCAAGGAATCCCTGTCCTTCCCACATAGCCTTGCAGGGTAATGGAGAGGGTGAGGCTAGAGAGGTTAAGTAAAGGATTTTTCAAAGATCTTTTATAAATACCATCATTCGTGCCTTATATTGTGGCATATGCCTATTATCTCTCTAGAAATTGAGACAGAAGGATTGTGAACTTGCATTGAGCCAGGGCTACATAGTAAGATCCTGTCAAAAAAAAAAAAAAAAGGTAGGACCACTTATAATCAAACTTAATACTATAAAGAAGGTTAGCTCTGGCCTCCATATTTAAAAAACATAAAAGTTCTAAAACCAAACCCACTTTGTTGGTATATTGAACACAGAGGAGTAAGGTAAATTTTACAAGACAGTCCCCTCAATAGACCAAGGGATTTGCACACCCGTAGAAATGGTTCTTTACGTAGGTGTAAATAACTGCACAGTCTAACTTCTCAACCTGGGAAGACACGAAGACATCTGTGCCTTAAGTTGGTTAAATGCTTAGGGAACTCTTTTTAAACTAATTGTATAAGCTATATCTCAATTTAAGCCACTGCATAAGTAATAAATCTGCTTTGAATCAACTGCATTTAATAACATACAGTGACAAGAATTTCACACATTTATATATGATTAGATTAAAACCATTGCGATTAACGATTTTAACATTAAATGAGACTAATTTGTAAATGTGTGATTATTTGCAATGAAGTGTTTTTGGAATAGAGTATGCCAGTTCTAATGCCTTAACTCGGCAGCCTCATGTGATTAGATGTGTAAACGTACGAGATCACTGCCAACAAGCCGTTTGCCCCATTGATAACCCCAGGCCATGCTTTTTTCAGTCTGATGAATTATTTCTCTAATGATGGGAAGTGATACTTTTAGATTAAGAACTCAGACTGATGCTGTACTATAAACACAAGCCTATGTAAAAAGTCAAATTTAGATCTGTGGAGTGTAACGTAGGGATCCTGTATTTTATGGTTTATGGAAGAATTGGGAGAAGGATTGGGGGGCCCAATGAGGGTAGGAACTCTGTAGGAAGACAGAGAAGAGTCAACTAACCTGAACCCTTGGGACTCTCATAGACTGAACCAGCTAAAGAATGAGTATGGGCTGGATCTAGCGCTCCCCCACTCACAAACCCGCCACACTGCAACTATGTAGCAGTTGTATAGCTAGATCTTCACGTGGCTCCCTAACCGTTGGAGGGGGGTGGGTTTATCCCAAAAGCTGTTGCCTGTCTGGGCATTATGTTCTTCTAGATTGGCTGCCTTGTCTGGCCTCAGTGGAAAAGGGTGTGCCTAATGCGGGAGAGTTGATGTGCCAGCGTGGAGGAATACCTGGGGCGGGGGGGGGGGAACGGCGCCATCCTCTCAAAGGCGAAAGGGAGGAGGGATGGAAAAGGGATTTGAGAGGGGGTAACAGAGGAGCAGGGACAGTGATCCAGTGATCAAGATGTAACGTGATTTAAAAAAAAAAGTCAAATGTAAAGCCAGGGTTAAATCATTAGTCTGCTATCTCAGCAGCTAAAGGAAATGCCCAGGTGAAACTGCCTTTTTCTCTCCTGCTTCTCAGATTTCGCGCAGGCTTCAAGAGAGCATTTCGCTGGTGTCCTTTCATCCAGGTCTCCAGCTACGATGAGCTAGAGCTCAAGACCACCAGGTTTCATCCCACACGGCAGAGCAGCCTGTACACCGTGAGCAGAATGGAGTCGGTGACCGTGTTGTTTGACCCCAATGATGGGGACCCGAACAAATCCAGTCGCAAGAAGAGGGCGGTACCCAGAGAACCCAGTGCCAATGGCTGCTCCCACAGAGATTCCAAATCTGCCTCCACCACATCAAGTTTCATAAGCTCACCCTATACCTCTGTGGATGAATATTCCTAAATCCATGTCCCTAGGTAAAGGCTGTTGTGAGGCCACCGTGAGGCCAGCCTAGGTCCCTCATTCTCCTAACCATGCCAGGTCCTATTCTAGGTACTTTGGGGAAGCAGAAGGGCAGATCTTAGGTACAGATATTTAATCTGAGAAAAGTGGAATACCAACATAACAAAACCTACCAACATGTCAACCAGCACAAAGAAAATTGAGTCTTCAATTTATTCTTTAAGAATCTAAATGGTCATATGCACCAAGTCCAATGTGTGAATCTGAAAAACTCCCTAAGTGTTCAGTGTCTGTCATTTAACAACGGCAGTGCACTTTTGTGACAGCAGAACAGCAGAGGAGTTTTCCAAGAGATTAAGGAAGCTCTAAAATGCAATACTGAGCAAAAGGCAACATGTCCTACATAAAACAGAAGCTCTGTGTGACTATAGAGTGGAAAGGACAAATGACTGACTTCACCAACAAGTAATAGAAAAATCAGCCTCAAAGAGTAGGAAAATATGAAAGTCTTTGCTCAAGAAAATTCATTTTGTAAAATGAAAAATTTAAGAAATTCCTTCCAAGACATTTAGCAAAAAGGGAGAGTCAAATAATTGCCCAAACATGGCATGTCTTTCTCTTGATTATTTTTCCCAAGGAAATAATTTCAAAATGAAAAGGAATCATCATCTAATTTTGACCACTAGGTATTTGGAGTGCTAAAGTAAGTTTCAGTCAAATATGGGGCCTTAAACAACAAAGAAAATTCTTACTATCTTCTTTATCTTATTTCTCATGCTTTTTTTTAATTAAGTAGATTGTAAAACACTAACGATATCTTCTAATGCAAAAGGAGAAATTCACATTTGCCTCTGTAGCTCACTTGCTTGATTTGGGTAACAAGTTAACAGTACTTAGAAGTTATCAAGCCAGACACTAGCATCTCCAAGTCCCCAAGCCAGTTGCTTCCCACTGCCATCCAAAGAAAAAGATGAAGTCATGAACTTTATTGGTTATGTCATGGCAGCCTCCTCTTCTTTACTCACTGGAGAAACACACACACACACATACAAGAAAAAATGACAAAGACCATTGAGGAAGTGTCACAATATATTTCAAGTGTAAGCTGAGTTACCAAAAGACAAATTGAAAAATATTAATATATGTACTGATAAATCAGAGAAGACATAGACCTATAAGTAGCTGGCTAGAAAAGGAAGATGCATAATTCTCTGGAGACATAAGCAGCTACAGATGAGGAAGAAGACAATGTACACCCTTTCAGGCACAAAACTCTGTCTGTACTTAAATAAGAGAAAGTCCCTCCAGAAAGAAATGAGTTAGTGATACTCATGTATGTGTGTCTCTGTGTGTATGTATGTATCCCTCCCTAAAGCTTGTCTGACTTATTTAATGTAAATCAGTATTTTTGGCCATCTCCTTTCTTACCCCTATAACTGCTTCCCTTTTTGATTTAGGCTTGGAATACATTGTAATATTACTTCCTTTCCAGTTAGGGGATCTGACATATGAAGGCACATTTAAGAGGCCCAGAACAAAATAAGAAGCATCTGGAAATGTAGACCGTGTCTTCCAGACTAAATCTTTTACAGGTCATCTTTCCTTACATTACCAGAACTGTTGATTCTGTGCACAAAATCATAAGCCTTGTGCAAATGAGATTTGTCCCACACACTCGTCTTTTCCAACATTCAATCAGGTTTTATTAACTATCTGTCTAAAGGACTTGCCTCTAACACTTTTTTTCTTTGTATGCTCGCTCTATCAACATAAGAATATTTCTGAAGAGCAGGGCAGAGGCAATTACCTGATAGTAAATCATGGTGGATTAACACAGCATTTGACTCCAGTCCTTTTCTCAATTGAATCCCAAATGATAAATACCCAATCCTTACACAATTTCAACTCTCTAAAGTACCAAGTCATATATGTTTGAGTTTACTTTAATAACTCCAATAAACAAGCAGACAACCAGATACACGTATGAGTGTGCAGATAAACACTACCGAAAGTGAATGTCACTGCTTCAAGGACTGAATTCAAAATTAAAACCCAAAAGGCAGATGGTCACTTCAAGATTGTCACAAAAACCACTCATAGGTGACAATGAAGCATTGTATGCATGTTTCCCCTTAGCAATTGTAGTAAGTATCTCATCATCTGAATATAGTGTTTTAAAATGTTTATTCTTAAAATATGTAAGTGCTTGTCAAATGTAAAATCATCATGAAAACCTGGTTTGTGTCATTTTTTTTTCTTAAATTTATGGGTATATAGGACTGGTGGGATTAAGTTCAAAGTACATAGGAACAGACCGAGCCTTAGAATTCACAATCAGCGAATGTGAAGCTGGCCTTCAAATTCAGTGTAGTCATCCACACCCAAACACATTTGAGGAACGTCACTCCTGATATTCATATTAGGCAAGTTCCAGAGAATTGTCTAGGACCTTTCCAGGGTGGTTCTTGCCATAATCAGTTGCTTTTACTTTGGTTTGGACTTTTTTTGCACATCTGCTGCTGCTTTGTTGACCTCCTTTCTGTTGTCACTCTTGCCCCTGACACCATTTGCTCACAGCTCATGGTGAAACCGAGACTTCGCCGGCAGACATTTTTAAGCTTAGAAGTTTAAACAATAAGAAAATAAATAAATGGGCAGAAAAGATATAAGCCCTTTTCGTTGAATTTCAACACTGAATTGCAGAATAAAGATCATGGAAGTAGGCTTCAATGGTGCTGACTTTAAAGAAGGCCGTGTTTGCATATTTGACAGAGTTTACATGACTTTGCCTCCAAAATCCGATCTATCCTCTAAAATTAAAGTTCAGATGGAATCTTTTTCACTGTTTACAGACACTGACTCAGAGTCCTAGACAGATAGATAAAATATCTTGAGCTTTTATATTTAAGTACCAGGGAAAAAAACTAAAACAGTTTGAGGGAAATATAGAAAAAAATAAAATAATTGATTAGTATTTTGTTTCCCTTTTGAAAAAGAAAAGGTAAATCAAAAATAAGCATCCTGTTTTGTTATTTTACATTCAGAGGAAGCAACAGACCTACTTGCTATAGAATCCAAACTAACATAACTTTCAGTGCTTCTGTAAGCTGCTGTATTTATTATTCCACCTCCCAACATTAGGGCACCGACATTTCTAACCAGCAGCCAGTTCACATTCTCTTTGGTGTCTGAAAGTCTCTCAGAAACAGGCATCTAACCAGCTTCAAAGTTCTTCCATTCTTACATCCTACGCCAAGTGCCAGAAGGCTTGATATCAAACCCAAGAAACAAAATAAATGTAAAAACAGTGCTGGCCAGCTCAAAATTTTTGTGACAGCATAAATCCCCCAGAAAATTTCTCATTGCTGTCTGGTCAAATAAAATGGCAATAATGTAACAACTAGCTGCTTTGTCTTTAACCATGTGCCAAAAGTTAAGGAAATCAAGCATGGCTCTGGCCATGCAGAATAATAAGATTGGAGCAAATTCCCTTCCGGCCAAGCAAGAGTTGAGAAGATATTCATCACGGCTAAATAAGACCACTAATTGTCTGCTTTATATATATTAGTGAAAAATCTGTGTTTACAAGACATTCACATATGCACACCTTATAACTAGTGAATGAAGTATTTTTTATATTGTGATAATTATACTGAATACATTTAATAAGTACATATGCTTTGCATATATGGTAGCAGATTGAAAAATTAATGTTTTCATTTAAATTTATTAAAGTAATACAAAAATTATTAAATCCCTAAGATCTTCCTATGTGACTACTAAAACATCTTATGAATCAACTCTAAGCACACCCAGACAATCAGCTGTCAAACAATATTGCATTTTCTTGCTTGCCTTTGGTTTTCCTAAGTTCCTTTGATTCAGGAAAGAAAAGGTATTTATGAGAAGCATGGTTACCAAAGTATAGAAGATCACTCTTTAGGCAGAGCAGGAGGGTAGAACTATGTTTCAGAATAGTGGCCACCAAACTTTCCCAACTGAGAGACTAGGATTAAGCCCAAGCCTGCTAACAGCTCTCTAGCACATAGAGGAGACCATTATCTCTTCTGAGACCCACTTAACTTATCAATAAAAATAGAAGATAACAATACTCTTATTGTAATGAGAGACTTATTCATTAATATGAGAGCAGGACAGAGCTAAACAGAGAAGTATGTATAAAACATCTCATCTTGCACATGCAGGGAGACAGGGAAGCCCTTTGTCATCTCCGTAATTGTTTCCTGTGCTAAGTTTTCAGGGCCTTTCAGTTACTGCACTAGAGCTGTTTCCAGAGCTCTTATAAGGTCCCATGCACTGGATAAGACTGTTCCTAGATTTTGCTCTTGTACCCTATCCCTGGAGTGGGAAAGCTTCACAAGCGAAGAGTTAGCAATGGCCAACTAACAGAGGAGTAACTTGAAACATATGAATCTAACGTCTTTCTTCAGAAAGAAACGGTTAATTACAGTCATATTTGGGTTCCAGAATAAGTCAAACTTCCAGAATATGTCAAATGTCATATGATAACAGATGAATAATGACGTTCTCCTCTAAAGTTTACTCAGAAGTTCTGTTGACTCCCTTCATGTGTCCATCATGATTCCATGAATAGTGCCCGGTAACGTTTTCCTGTCAGGGACAGCAACGACTCACAGTGCCTGTTCCATTTTAGAAGCTGCAAGGACACTTTTCCTCATCTAGTCATTTATCCTCAGTTGGATACAAACCTCATTTCTAACCTTGTCAGTAGGAAGAGGGTAGAAGGTAGCAAGACTTCACCATCCTGAGTATCCAAAAAGATGGGGATGGGCATGGGGTGAGGCATCTCTAGGATGTGTCAAAGAACTGAGATGGGGCGGGGCAGGAGGGTTCCAAGGAGTCTATGGGGATGACTTTAGCTGAAACTCCTAGCAGTGGGGATTTGGAACCTGAACTGGCCACCATCTGTAGCAAGCCAGGACCACAGTGGACGGATAAGGACGCTAACCCACCCACAAAACTTTTGACCCAAAATCTGTCATATCTACAATAAACATAGGGACAAAGATGGAGCAGAAACTGAGATCATGGGCAACCAATAATGGCACAACTTGAGACCCATCCCATGGACAAGCACCAATCCCTGACACTATTAATGATACTCTGTGATGCTTGCAGACAGGAGTCTAGCATAACTGTCCTCTGAGAGGTTCCATCCAGCAGCTGACTGAAACAGATTGCAGAGACCCACAGCCAAACATTGAACAGAGCTCGGGGACTCTTATGAATGATTAAGGGCCCCAAAGGAGATAGGAACTCCACAAGAAGACCAACAGAATCAACTAACCTGAACCCTTGGGGGGCTTCTCAGAGATTGAGCCACCAACCAAAGAGCATACACAGGCTGGACCAAGGCCCTTGGCTTGTATGTAGCAGATGTGCAGCTTGGTCTTCATGTAGGTCCCAACAACTGGCACAGGGTCTATACCTAAATCTGTTGCCTGTCTTTGGGTCCCTTTTCCCTTAATTGGGCTGCCTTGTCTGGCCTCAGTGGGAAAAGATGGACCTAACCCAGCAGAGACTTGATGCACCAGGGTCGGGGTGGGGGGGAGCCCCACCCTCTCAAGGAAAAGGGGAAGGATATGGGGGAGTGATTGCGTGAAGGGGGAATGGGAAGGGACAGAGGTCAGGATGTAAAATGAGTAAATAAATGAAAAACTTGAATACTGATGTATGCCAAAATATAGATGAACCTCCAAACCACAGTGCTACATGAAAGAAGTGAGCTGCAAAAGACAGCGATGTATGTAAAACAGACAAATCTACAGAGAAACAGTAGGTTTATGAGCCTTACCTGATGGTGCTGGGAGGGAGGCAAGGGAGTGAAAGAGGCACGAACTTCTGGAGTGCACAGAATTTCTTTGAGGTCCAATGAGAGTATCCTAAAATGAAGTTGTTGTGTTAGACACACAATTCCATAAATATGCTTAAAACTATTGGATTGAATCTCTTAAATGTGAGAATTTATCAGTAAACTATTTTAAAAGAGACAGGATTTCTTGAAGTAATAGGCTAATGATAGTATAGAAAACCTACATTATTAAAGAATTCTGTGAAAAACACCTTCAAATCCTCAAGCAAAACAGTTGATTGAATAGACTGTAACAAAAAAAGTAGAAGAATAAATTCTCCTCTTCACAAATAAAACTGACACGTAAAATTAATCGGTTCATCCCTTATTATGAGTGTAGCCCTAGAATCAGACATACAAATTTCTTTGAGAAAATCCTAGTCCACAGAGAGAACTTATCCAGGATTCAGAAGCACATTACACTTTCAGCATTCATCGAAAATAATCTACTGGGGACTGGAGAGATGGCACAGATTATTTGCTGTTCTTGCAGAAGACCTGAGTTTGACTCCCAGTACTGATGTTGGGCAGCTCTTAGCAACCTATGATTCCAGCTACATAGAAAACAATGCCTGGCATCCATGAGCACCCATACACGAACTGATAATAATAATAATAATAATAATAATAATACACTAACAGTGTTTTCATTTGTAGGTAGATACCAACTCTGATAATCTTAACCTAGTGGAATTTACATACTAGCAACTCTCAAACTCTTCCCAAGTATTAGCACAAGCCTGGGGCTATGCAGTCACTAGCTATACCCAAATCACATCCCAAGATGTTACTGTAACTGTCCTGCCACCACAACTATGAAGCAAAGTCACTGTTATTTGCAAAACTTTTATGCCTCAAACCCAGTCCTTCTGCTAGAACTACCATTGATTTCATGTCTGGAACCTGGGTCTTGATCTCCTGCTACACCAGCACCACTGGAACACATTGATACTGTTTTGCTTCATGAGCTTCCAAAGCCTTAGTCCACTGCATAAATCTGGTACAGCTAAGCTAATGTATGTGTTCCTTGCCCTAAGAGTTTCTACTTGTTAAATGAAAGGCAAGATCTGCCTCATACAGTGAGAACTCTCCAAATGCAGAAGGTTGAGTATTTAACAAGAATAACTAGTCTGTAATAAATGCCTGGACAAAAACAAATTATATTTGAGTTAAGTGGGTGTCTTCAACTGGCAGAATCATAACTTCTAATTATCTTTTTATTCATCCATGTTAAACCTATATATTCTCCTTTTATTGCTGCACAAATAACAAAAATATTAAACAATATTCTGAGGGGTATGTATCCTGTTTGAACTCTTGGAAAAATTCATGCAGCTTTTCAAGG